AAAGCCTGTTTCTTCCATAGCAGTGCTTTTACTAGTTTGACCTCTTATCTTCTGTGTGCCACATAAGGCCATTGGGACTAAGGGAATGAAGTTAGTTACCAGTGAAAATTTTCAGACTTTCGAAAGAAAGGTCCCTTTCAGGCTTCAGTTGCATAATTTCATCCATGGCAATGATAAAACACTCCTATAAGGAAGTACTGGTTATGGTGCTGCAGCATACATACGAGCTTTGTGCAGAATGTTTCATTTTCATGAGAAAAAAAAAGACTTATTTTATTAGAAAGAAATAGTTCAGAACCATTGACTACCAAATTTTAGCAGAATTTTAAAGAAATATGTGTGTTTTCTTTTTTAGATGGTCAGCCATCAGTTCAAGTATTTGATAAAACTCTCCAAATAAAGCAGATGCATGTGTTGAAAGCTCTGGATCTTTTGATTGCCCGAACAGACGAAAGTAGGAAAGGTCCTTGTTATTTGGTTCTTATTTGAATGTCTGTTTAACTGTTTATTTGGCAGACATCAGTAGAAGGGAATGCCTTAGGTGCTTTTATTTAAGAGTTGTTTTTGTTTTTTAACTTGGAAGCATGCTGTAGAATTTTAATTCCCACCGTGTCCTGGGGTGCATCAAGCACGGCATCGCTAGTAGGTCAAGGGAGGTGATTGTCCCGCTCTACTCTGCGCTGCTGCGGCCTCACCTCGAGTACAGTGTGCAGTTCTGGGCACCACAGTATAAAAAGGACATGAAACTGTTGGAGAGTGTCCAGAGGAGGGCTACGAAGATGGTGAAAGGCCTGGAGGGGAAGACGTACGAGGAACGGCTGAGGGCACTGGGCCTGTTCAGCCTGGAGAAGAGGAGGCTGAGGGGAGACCTCATCGCAGTCTACAACTTCCTCGTAAGGGGGTGTCGAGAGGCAGGAGACCTTTTCTCCATTAACGCCAGTGACAGGACCCGCGGGAACGGGGTTAAGCTGAGGCAGGGGAAATTTAGGCTTGACATCAGGAGGGGGTTCTTCACAGAGAGGGTGGTTGCACACTGGAACAGGCTCCCCAGGGAAGTGGTCACTGCACCGAGCCTGTCTGAATTTAAGAAGAGATTGGACTGTGCACTTAGTCACATGGTCTGAACTTTTGGGTAGACCTGTGCAGTGTCAAGAGTTGGACTTGATGATCCTTAAGGGTCCCTTCCAACTCAGGATATTCTATGATTCTATGATATAATCACCTTTTGTCCTTTTGTCACATCACATAGCTATTCTTAATTATTGTAATTAGGTTTTTGAGCTCTGAGTTTATTGTTCTCCTTTTCAGATCTTTCCACTACTTTCCCTTTGCTGATTTCCCCTGGGCTGCTTACGTACATGCCCTATGGCTTTAGGGTTTGTAAGTGTCTTGAGGTAATCATGTTTTTATCAGTGGCAAGTGCATTAGATGCCTCATTTAGAATAAGGGAGTGCATACAACAAGTACTGTTTGTTGTTTGTTTGCTTGTTTTTCTAAAAGGTGTGGAAAAAAGTCTCTAGATGCTCAGAATCATGCTTCAGAGCAAACCTGAAACTGGCCGTATTGAATCATCAAATGGTTTTGGTTGGAAACAACTTTTCAAGACCTTTTAGTCTGACCTCCCTGCCATGGTCAGGTACATCTTTCAGTAGATGAGGTTGCCCAAAGCCTCATCCAGCCTGACCTTGAACACTTCAGGAGATGGGACATCCACATCTTCCCTGGGCAACCTGTTCCAGTGCCTCACCACTCTCATAGATTAGATAAAAGGAATAAATTCTTCGCTAAATCTACCGTCTTTCTGTTTGAAACTATTACGCCTTGTGCTGTCACTACGTGCCCTTGTAAAATGTCTCTCTCTCTCTTTCTTATAAGCTTCCTTTAAGTATTGAAAGGCCACAATAACGTCTCCTCAGAGCCTTCTTTTATCCAGGTTAAAAGAACACAGCTTTCTCAGCCTTTCTTGTAGGTGTTACAGCCCTCTTATCATTTTTGTGACCCTTCTCTGGATCCACTTTAACAGGTCCATGTCCTTCTTGTGCTGGGCGCACCTGAGCTGAACACAGTACTCCAGGTTGTATCTTACAGGGGCAGTGTGAAGTGGGGGAGTATCACTTCCCTCGACCTTCTAGGCCACACTTCTTTTTGTGCAGCACAGGATATGATTAACTTTCTGGGCTGAAGGTAGACATTACTGGCTCATGTCAGATTTGTCATCCACCAGTATATAGTTGGTCTCCAGCTACTCTTAGAACTCAACACTCTGGAAATCTCCCTAGCTGAATAATGTGTTTGTTCAGTTGTACAAAAACGTGGAGGAAATTACTTATGCTGTCACTGTTCTACCAAATGTGTTACTGGTTTTTGTTCTGTGATGTGTAACCACATTCTAGTGCTATAGATTATATTCTCTTAAATATTCTGGTATATAAAAACAAAACAAACAAAACAAAAAAAAAAAAAACTTAAAACCCGTCTGTCCAAACAACTTTTTTTTTTTTTTTACCCTCTTTTCAAAAGGATTAAACGTCCCTAAAATATGCACTTTTTCAGTTAGATACTTTTTACCCAAAAGTCTGTGAAGTGAATACGCACAGTGCAAGAACAGGATCTGTATGTGTAACACAGATAAAATAATTAGAAATCTGGTTGTTTTATTGTTTTTTACCACATTATGTCTGTTTGCTCAATATTAGCTGAAGTGACATTTACCCAAGCTAAGGGTAAAATGTGGTTCCTTTCATACCATTGGGAGTTGCCCATTTTGGCTGGACCTGATGAAATTCATCCTGGAACCCTTGCAGAACCAGCTGAGATTACCTGAGAGGCATTTGCAGTCATCTCTGAAGACACCTGGCAGGTGGGTGACATTCTTGAAGATCTGAAAAGGGTAGTTGTATCTGAAGCTTAGTTTATGAAACTTCTAGAATAGATAATTGCATTTAATAGTCAAAACGTTGTGATGATTGGTTAAACCTGAAGAGAGAGATGTTACAAGCCATTTTGAGGTAACAGGATTAGGCATTACTGGCATCAATTCATGATGCTTCAAGCATATTTTGATAAAGAGTTTTTGTGTAAAAAGTTGAAGAGATTTTTGAATGCTGTTGTGGGTGCTTTCTGAATCATTTAGAGGAGAGAAAGGTCTTTTGTTCTTGCTAGTATCCCTGCCTCTTGTTTTGTATTTGTATACCACAGTGAAACTGAGATCTGGAGTGGAAGTTATTGTTGCCCTTTATTTTCAGACTATGCCTTAGTCTAGTTTTCCATATGGTCTTCTGGAGACCCTCTTCCTATCCCCATAGTGGCTGATAAAGGAAAATGAGAAAAATAATGAGTTAGATGGGTAAAAGCAATCTTATATTGGGTGTACAAATTGGTATTAAAGACTATATGGGTTTTTAGGATACAATAATATATTACAAGGTTTGTATGTACTTTAAATGCGTCCTTCTGATGTACTTCAAGTGCATCGATGTAGAACTGGTATTTTAAGACTCAAGCAGAAAGACTGATGTTTGTGTTATGAAAATGTTCATATAGAATGTGGTATTATCCAGCACTCAGTTCTAACAACCAGGTTTGAGATCACTTTAAGGTAGCTCATTTCAGAAGAAAATCCTGTTTCCACTGCTTTCTAGTACCCTCTGCATTTCTGGGAGAGAGGAAATGTTAACAGTGAAACTAGAACTGAAGATAATGCTATCACTGAGATTTTTCAGGTCAGCATACCAAAAGAAGGGGGTATTTCAGGCACCAACAATACATCTGGTATTAATGACAGATGCAGAAATTGCTTTGGTAGCAGTGCTCTCTTTTCTAACGTTGATTAAATTTGTCTTAGTAATGAGAGATGAGTTATAGAAGTGGATCCACTTTGTCCTCCAAACATGTTTGTTTATTTTTTTGCTACAACTTATTTTGTGAAACACCTAGACATGGCGAGTGGGAAGGAGGAAGGGCTCCTTCACTTGGAATAATCAAGTCTGTAGGAGGTGAAGAAAAACTCTCTTAAAAAAAACGACACCAAAGAAAATCTTGGATGATAGTCAGTTTCATGAGCAGCTACAGATATATGTAACACCGCAGTGGGGTTATTTGGGACATTTGCAAAACAACTAGTATCCTGAAAGAGGAACGCATTGAGGAGTGGAATCTCTAGGATGCATCCTATAGGACACACCTGACAAAGAGACAGAGCTGAATTAATGAGTAGTAACACTGTTCTTGATCATTTGATTTAGCTTATGTTTTCTGGCCTTCCTTTCAAAAGGGTGAATTTTGCTTGCCATTCTTCCTCCATGAACTAATTCATGGAAGCACACATTCTTGTATGTACATTCTTGAAAAGAGAGAGATTGCATATATTTTATTTTCCTTTTATCGGTGTTGACAGTAAGAATTTGCTGGTTGATCAGTGTTTCAAGTTGTGGTGGACTTAAGGAAACATTACATCTTCTTTTCTCTTACACTTTCTATGGGAAAAGAAGGTCATAAATGTAATACACAATAAATGTTTGTTCATTGTCTTTTGCATTATAAAAACAAGGAGTTCTGTTTGAGGAGCGGGAGTTGCAAAAGCTCCCTGCTGAAGTAAGGAGCTGTATAATGCTTGGCTAGACACTATGAAAATTCTTTTGCTTAATGTAACAAAAAAGAGAACCCCCTCCCCTTCTCTCCTTCTGCATCTCAGTTGCCTCTTTTGTTCAAAGACACTGTTGCAAAGCTCATGTAACCATCTCCTGATAAGTTGCTAACCTAGTGTATCAACATCCTGCCTTCCTGTCTCACACTGGGCCAACATGACCAAATAAAAAAAGAAGTTGAACCACAATGCTGAGGAAGACTAAGGCCTTCATCTTCACAACCACCAGAGGGACAGAGACAACCCCCTAGCAACAGTGCGCGCAGTCGCAGAATATACCAGGATGTGCTGCGTAATCCTGAAATTACCAAGATATAAAAAGGGACCCTGGCGGGGGTGAGGTGCGCGCCGTTGGCGGAGCCGAGACTCCCCGGCTACCCAGCGCTGTTTTGCTTGCTGTTACTTACTCAATAAATTCCTTTCTATTATTAATGCAATGCTCTCTGAAAATTAATTAAGGGGGCAACTTATAACAATAAAGGTTCCAGAAGCTGCCCTGATTCATGTTTATCTATTATCAGAATTGAAGGCAGCACATGTGATCTTGCTTTTGTATTTACGGTTGGATCCACACTGACTATACATGTATATTAAGAAAGCGTGCTTATGTTTCCAGCTATACCAGCTAGACTAGTAAGAGAGTACACTTTTGTCAGAAAATCTTGCTTTACTTGCATTTTAAGAAACTTGGCTTTTAGTTAAGAAACTACTCTTAACATAGCTTATTTCCAACTGCAAATAGTAGTGTATCATTTATTTATTTATTTATTTATTTATTTATTTATTTATTTATTTTAAATTTCGGAGTTGTGTATTCCACTCAAGTCTATCTTTGTGGAAAAAACATTTAGCCGTGGTGGTGGATGCTGTGCTATTTTTGCAGTTGGAATATGCCTTGAACCTAACTTGCCTAACTTTGAAGAACTGATAAGCAAAACCAGTCCGCATCCAAAAGGTTTTCAGACTCTGTTAAGGATCCAGGTATCAGCTGCTAGGCTGGATGGTTCCAGAATTTAAAGTTAACCCTTCTTCTCTTGCCTTTAGTTTGTATCTGTCATATTTTCACTGTCTTCTAGTAGTGTAGGTTTCCCTGTTTTGAGGCTCCTATTATTTATTGCTGCAGCACCATCTGATGGGAAACTCTGCTAGTGAATTGAAAGGGTTGCTTACTGGAACTGTAGAGTCTAGATAGAGTTCACAAGCAGTCTTCCTGTTACATTGCTGCTTACACTCAGAGAAGCAAAATTGTTTAACTTTGCTTTTATGGCAATGCTCTGTCTGTTAGGTGCTTCATCTCTTTGGAAGTATTAATTTCAAACCACCACTGTCTTTTTCTAGTTTGCCGTTTCCTGACTTTCTCCATCTTCAGGAAAAGACTCTCATCTCCTTGTCTTCAGATTGAGTGCTGTCCAAAAAGATATAGAAACAAAGCAGATGATAAGAAGCAAATATGACTGCAGAGAAAATAAATTTGAGAGAACAAAAGGTAGCTTTATTATCTTGTATTAGAAGTGTCCACTGTGGTATTGTGCCAGTAGTTGCCAGGGTTTATTAGCTCCCTTGAGGCTGTTGTAGGTATTCACCTTTAGTTTTATCTCTGGACAGTTAATTCAAACTTTAAGCTTATGTATGAAAATAACATAGGGTACAGTCCAGCTTATCATTTGAGAACTTGGTAAAAAAAAATACCATGTTACTTGGCAATCACTGCTGATGAAAAGCTCTGGTGAAAAACAGATATGTTGCTTTCAGGATTGAGGGGTATAAGAAAAATTATGCATGGATGTAAGACTGAAATAAAGGTCACTGTGAGGTAGAAGAATGTGGTGTAATTGCCTGAAGTAACTAGGAAAATAAAACTAACATTCACATTTTTAAGGAAAAGGTACAGCATTGAAGAGGCTTTCAGGGTAGGGCATAACCGCATTACCTGAGCGTTCCCTAGGCTCCCAATCTTAGATGCTATCGCGCTGGGGAAACTTGGTGTGCTAGCTCTAAGGAACACCACGGAGCATGGAGTGGAGTGGAGACACCACGGCTAGGCTCTGTAATCAGGTGGGGCCTCGATTGTTCTTGTGCACAAAGCTGCACTTTTTGCCACCCTAAGCCAAAGACCTGTCATGTTTTGACAAATGCTGTACCCTAGTGTACTTTTTGCTCATTATAATATCATTATAATACCAAAACACACCTCCATCCCAAAAGCTACCCACCTCCAAGGTGCGACCACCCCCCACCGAGCATGCGCTCTGAATTTCTCGGAGCCTATTACTTTAAACAGAGACGAGAAAACTTTACACCAATCATAACTAAGATATGCTTGACTAGAGCCACTCAAGCTCCACCTAAAAGATAGAAAATCATATAAATTGGCCCAAGAGAGAGGGGATGTTAGGGAAGATACCATCGTCAGGGGAGATACCATCCCGAGGACATACAACATCCTTAGGACCTCCTGACTCCTGGGATCAGTCGACGGGCTGAGCCTCTCTTCCCCCCCCATTGGGACGCCTTTGGGTGAGATCTGAATATTTGCTTATAAATCTCTATAGAGTCTTTGATCCTTTTAACGCGTTTATTTCTAGGCTGCGCACCTGTAACACCTGTAACACCTATAACACCTATAACATCTGTAACACTTATAACATCTATAACATCTGTAACACCTACAACACCTGTATAACATCTGTAACACCTATAACACCTGTGTATTTCATGCATACTAGCTTGCTTTTGCAGATAGTCACTATCACCGGCAATCCAAAAGAACCTGATTATCTGTTGCTGTAATAAACCATACTTGATTGCATTGTTATAGCTCTCATTAATGCAACTAGGGTGAGGGTGGTTATCCGTGATAGTTCAGTGTTCTGAATCTAACCAGACCCCCAGACGTTTAATGCATTTTTGGTGAATGTCTGAACGGACCCCCAGGTGGTTAATACGTTTTTGGTGAATGTCTGAGCGGACCCCCAGGCGGTTATTACGTTTTTGGTGAATGTCCGAACGGACCCCCAGACCGTTAATGCGTTTTTGGTGAATGTCTGACTGGACCCCCAGGCGGTTAATGTGTTTTTGGTGAATGTCCGACTGGTTCAGTACTCTGAATCCAACCGGGCCCTTAACGGTTAATCAGCTACACCCCTTTAACGCGACAAAGAACAATGGCAAATCTTTTTTAATTAGTAATGCTTAGAATAGTTTGGGTATTGCAAATTATTTTAGTAGATGTAAACATTTTCTGATATTCAGCATCAAGCTTCCTTGGAAAGCTGGAAACTGCAGAATAGTAAAGAAAAAAACATATATTTACTCTTTTACTTGCAAAAGGAGTAAGGGGGAAAATAGTTTTCAAAAGAGTCACAGCCTTTTGTCTTTTTCTAGAATTTAATATTATCCTGTTGGGATGTTTGTAATTGTGTGGTGCTCAGGTATCAGATATCCATTGTACTAACCATCATACAAATACAGAACAAAAACAAACAAACAAAAAAAAACAGTCCTTACCCCAAATACTTACAACCTAAATTGTTTTTTTTTCTTAGGCTGCCATTTGTATGCCATTAATAATCACCATGGCAGTGAACTGAGGATTGTTGTGGCTATTCAGAACAAACTACTTCTCATCACAAAGAAATACAATCCATGCAACAGTTTAACCAGCAGCTCTCCGCTGTCATTACCTGAATCTCCAGTAGATGAGTTCCAGTACATCCGGATACGTGTAATCTAATCACTAATCACTTTTACAGACTGGGCAGCACTCAGCTAGTGGAGGAAAAAGGCAAAGAGTGTGCATTTTATCATCTGGGACCTCCAGACAGATGTGAGTGAGAAGCAATATAATGGTGATCCATCATTTATATGCCAAAGAAATATTTCAGACTTCTTAAATTGTCATCTTGTTCTGTATTGTGCTTCCCTGCTTAGATTACATCCTTGTAAATTCATGGAGTAATGCAATATTCACACTAAGAGCCTGAAAAAGAGAATAATACTATTATCTATCTCATAGGAAATATACCTTTCTGACCCTCCAGTGGTTATGACACTGGTGGATGGACCTAGTGGAGACAGTGACAATATGATCTGTGTGGCGTATCGGCATCAGTTTGAATTAGTTAATGAAAGTATTAGGGAGTCCTATAGACTGCATCATGTTGAAGCAAACAAAGTAAATTTCTAGCACTGAAACTTGCAGAATTGATCCATGCTGTGCTGACCTCCTGGGAGCAGCATTTATGGAGATCCTCTCGTCTCCTTTACTTTTCACTTTTTTAACTTCTACTTTAGAGTACTCTGAGGCATTTTTTCCTTTTGGAATGTGTGATAATAATCACTCCTAAGAGAGGTAGTTATAAGGTATGACATATTAGGAAAGAGCCTGTGTTTCAAGCTCTGGAATAGTGCTGTCAGTATAAATGCAAAGCCATTTTTTCTCCTTTCTTAGTCAATATTTTGATTTTTGTCTTTTCTTCATGGTCTCAGTGTTTTATCCTTTAGGAGGTTGCAGCAAAATAATTTCAGGTTTTGGCCACCATTATCTCATTCAGATTTGCCTATTTGCATGTATTAAAACTGAAATATTTGTGTATCTCTTTTAGTTCTAAACTGCTGCCGAGCCAAGTAATACATTAACTATATCTTACTAACTGGGACATAGGGTTGGGATTTAAGTAAACATCATGAGTTTTGGAAAAGGGTTCAAATGTTTCCTGTTGCTGGGAAGATAATGATCTTCAGCATTTTGAAAATCAGATAATTTCAATAATTTCTTAATATGGATGTAACTGTATAGCTTTAAGCGTAATTTTTTTTTTTTTAAAAAAAAACCTTTTACAGGGTTACTCTTGTGTTCTGTTGACTTCTCTGCTCATAATGGTATAAGGGACGTCTCTTTTGATTTGATGCTTGTTGATTTTTTTTTTAAATCTGTATTTTCACTCAGATTTGATGATGAAGAGGGTTGGTACTCCTAGCATTGGCAATACAGTGTTAAGATTCTCCACAGCAATAGGAATCTATTTTAATCTGGATTAAGAAGGAAATACAATTAAAGAATGTGGACAGTCAAGAATCGCCCCCCTCTGTTCTCTTCCCCAGTTACCTTTGTTTCCTTTGAGAACACAGACAAAGCAGGAAGTTAATTAGATCTGTGCCAGTGATTTTTGTGTTGTTGAAATTGATTACCAAATTATTTCCACAGCTCACAAAGCAGAAATGTCTTTCAGTTGCTACAAAGGATGGGTCAAAATGTGTTTTGTATATACATATATATATATATAAGCTTCCAGGTCTGTTTAACAGTTCTTGCCTTATATTTGTCTTAAATCAAGAGAACACCTACTTTATTGCACAAAGGAAAGCCATGAAGTTCATGAAGTCAATCTCCAGCCTTGCCCAAGTAGCAAATAGTGTGGTCTAGGAGACGTTTGTCTAATCCAGTCTTAAGTATCTCATCAGGGAGGTCTCCTTTTCTGAATGTATATACTACTACTTGTGGGTGTCTTGTTTTTCTTTTAATTTAACTGTAAAAGACAAATACAGGATTAAAGTATGAGAATATAAGTAGCCTATGCTATGCAAAAAACAGTTTATCCAGCAGTGGTTCTCAGTTTCTAAATTCAGCTTATTCAGTAATTCTTGAAGTACATCCACGTCAATCAATGTACCTGTCAGTGGTTTTGATCCAGTAATAGGCACTTTTGATCTTTCTGCTAGTCATGATTTTCAGTCGAGCTTTTTAGATTTCACTTTTTGGAAAGAATTGCTATTTTTAGCATAGCATGTTAATTCAAAGCTATCCTGAAATAACTCAATTTCCCAAAATTTATATTGTCAAGTGAGTTAGATATGTTTGTATCATTTTATACTGAAGGTACAAAATTAAATATGCATTACTGAAATACAGCATTGAATACAAAAGAAATTGATTTCCATCCTGTCGGCATCTTGAAAATGAATCACAAAAAAGAAATAGTATTTTTTTTTCTTTTATCTATAATTCTGCACCAACTGATTTGATTGCTTCTTAGTCAAAACCTGGTCATAGTAACATCAGTATCCTATCTGCCTGATCATTACCCTTTCCTATTATCATTGCAGGTAAACTTTGTTGCAGCTATTGATGTATATGAAGATGGTGAAGCTGGCCTACTGTTATGTTATAACTGTAAGTAGTTAAGGAAGACTGAAAATGATAATATCTCAATATCTAATTCTTTGTAATGTAATTCATTCAATTTGTAATGTAATTCACTGGAGTTTAGATCTGTATTTTAAAGTTTCAGTGTTTCATGGAAAGTATTTCAAAATACATTTTTTTTTCAATTTAAGTGCATATTAGAAGGACTAGAAATGGAAGTACTGTTTTATTGTGGTGTGTGTAATTGGACAGACGTTACCATCTTACAAAAGTCCTATTTCTTCAGATCTATCTTATTCTTTGCCTAGTCTCACACTGGGTGTTTCTAGGACATGGACAAATTAGTATTCCACCCCTTTTCTTCTTTGTGCTTTCCCATTCTGTCACTGTGCTTTCTTTCCTTCTGCACACTTCTTTGTGCTGACACATTTTAAAATTGTAATTCTCTTAATCTCTTTTTATAAAACGGCCTTGGATTTCATATGCATATGCTCTTCTGTGCTGTACACATGTAGTTTTGCTTTCAGTCCTCAGGAAAATCAAAGTTATGAGTATGAAACGTCCTTTATGAGGTGATGCTGAAGGACAAAGCACAACATTCTGTTTCAGAGGGCATGTCCTACTTGCCTTTCCAAAGAGAGCATTGATGGAAACAGGATAAATAACTCTACGTATTCTAGCATTGGCCGTTAGATTGGTACCACAGGGAAAAAGTCTCTAAAGTGTATCTTTCTATGCTCTGTGAGGCCTCATTGGTTTTGGTAGTTTAACAAATCCTACCTAGTTCTGGTTCACTCAGTACTACTTCAGAACTAAAAGGTCTGTGACAGAGTAGTGTGAATTCCCAAACCTGTACTTCTGTGCAGAATCAGTTCTACTCTAATAGGCTCGTCACAGAGCCAAAGCTAACAAACTCGGTTGATCCTAAGGTCCTAAAGCCTGTTGCACAGGGTTACAGCAACTTGAATCCCTATTTGTAGGGCCCTGTCACAGGGAAACCTCTTTTGGTCTTGTGACAGTTTTACAATTATGAAAGTATCATAATGGAGCAAGTATGAAAACACATGATTTGACAGTGTTCTAAGTTTGGATTTCAAACAAGCCCTTTTTTTTACACTTGTGGATATAAAGTTAGTTTAAGTTTAAGTACACCAATTACAGAAAAAAAAAAAAAAAAAAAAAAAAAAGGATTTTACCTAAAAATAGAGAAGTAGTAGATTCACAAGTTATATGATTAATGAAATCTTGGTATCTGTAGTATCCCATGTGTATTACAATCCTCAAAGAACACAAACTGTGCTAGTATGTGGCTGCTTGAAGGGTAGTTCTTACAGTCAGAGGGTTACAGCTCTGCTTACATCACTTTCAGAAATGTTCTTAACTATTCCTCTATCCATAGACAAAGGAGCTGATGATTGCTGAAACAGAACAATACTTACTTTGTGAAATCTGACAAGTAATTAAAATGTAGCTCTATTATTTTTATCTTGTAAATGTATTCACAAAGGAAGCACATTTCCTTTATGGTCTGTTTCGATATAGAGGGACTTCTACATAAGAGTTTGATATTTATCTGTGTATTATCCACACTTCTGTAAAATCTACCTATAATGTTGGTGTTTGTCATTTGTGCTGTAAGATATTGGAGGTTTCTTTTTTTCGTTTTTTTGTTACAGATGTTTGCCAATATAGAAAGGTGTATCCTTTTAATGGAGGTTCTCCACTCGTCCAGTCATCAGCTTACAACTTTCACTTTAGCTGGAATCAAGTTCCTTATGCTGTTGGTAAGAACATACCTCTTTTTACCCTTTTTTCATTACTATTTAGGCTTGCACTTGGCTGTTGGTGGAATTGCAGCATGTGTGCTAGGAATATATAAGAATAAATATAAAATTAAAAATAATTTAACATACATACATCTATATTTAATATAATAAAATGTAATAAATATGGGTTAATAAATTCCTATAAAAAAGAATTTCTTCATGGAGAGGGTGGTTAACCATTAGAATGGACTGCCCTGGGAAGTGGTGGAATCCCTATCCCTGGAGAGGTGTTGACATAACACCAAGGTGTTGAAGGATTTTTTGAAACAGCAAAAATCCCATGGCTTGCTGCAGCTGAGCAAACCAAGCTACCAGGGCAACTATGAGAAGTTCCCATGACAGTGTTCCCACATCGCCCAGTTGAGGAATTTAGAAAAATACTGTTACCAGCCTCTGGCTTCAAGGACAAGGTCTACATGACTGCTAATCACAAGAGGGGTTGTTTTCTTGCAGGTGGGGTTGTTTTATTGTAGTTGTTTGTCTGAGTGCTTTTGACCAATAATCTTGTGTGAAACACTATCCACCCCTGTTAAGTTCACTATAAAAGTTAGGCTATTCAGACAATAAAATGGAGCATGATCTGACTCTACTGGTGTCTGTCGTGCTTTCAGCCGTGCTTCCTGCAACACCAAGGGACATAATGATGGAACTTGGTAGGTCAGGTTGATTGTTGGACTTGAAGGTTTTTTCCAACCTAGATGATTCTGTGATTCTCTAAGCGTGTTGCATTCATGATGCCACTTCAGCTAAGATTCTGCATATGGTATCTTTAATAAGTGGATCCTTGGGGCCAAGATTTTCCTCTGATAAACTTTTTTTTTTCCTTTCTCTTTTTTCTGTTTTTTATTTTCCATTCAGTTTATATTCTGCCAGGCTTGGAGAGTGAAGTTTTCTTCAGGCTTGTATCTGAATGTCCATCAGTACAGTAGACAAATCTTGTCGTAGGAAAGGGAGATACCAGAGTAGATCAGATACTCAAGAATTGTTTTCAGGGAGCATCTGAGAAACATTTACATTAATTATTCTACCTTGCAAAATAATTTTTGTTTCATTGCAGTCTGTGCTTTCCCTTATATCCTTGCCTTCACTACTGATTCCATTGAGATCCGATTAGTCGTGAGTGGAAACTTAGTCCACACAGCAGTTGCCTGAGCTTCAGCTTGTAGCACCAAGGGTAAGACACGAGAAAAGCATATTTGACTATTTGTGAGGTGTTGGGACCTAATTCACATAAAGAGTTGCTGAAGCCCAAACCAAACGAAAACTGACACATTTTCTGATTTGCATTAACTGTTAATTTGTGTGCTCTTAGCTTGTAGTGAGTACAGTGAGAATCAGAATTGATCTAACTGTCCTTTATTGCTTGCAGTAATGCAGAGCTGAAGTATTTGATTATTTACAGGGCAAATGCTCTTCTGAACATCACAGAAGTTCTCCCCATTTACAGTGAGATAGCCTTTCTGTGGCCAGCTGTAGTTAACTTAGCAGCAATACAGTAACAGTGGCAATAGAACATAGTGGACAAACATTTAAACTCTTATTCAGCAAGTGTTTAAGAAAGTTTTGCTGTACTAATGATGAGTTCTTTGTGATTTCAGTCAGATATTTATTTGAAAGCTACTACTGCAATAAGGGGATCATCTCATAGCAGTTCTAAGGAAATGAGTTCAAGTTCTCCTCAAGCACCGACGGCTTATGAAATACCAGAATGTCCTCTTTCTTCTTCAGAAAGTAACATGGTTTCCAGGCTGCTTGAAGCTTTGATTATTATCTTTAGTAAAATGAAATCAATCAGTTAAAAGATTTTGTTTTCATGGCTGAGAGTCTGGAAGATGGAAACCTTATGCAGAGATCTGAAACACCTGGCTGAGCTTTTGCCCATCTCTTCTGAACGCACGGCAGCACTCTTTTGAAGAAATCATGTCTGTAGGAGGGGAAGAATTAAGCTTCACTAGCTTAATGAGTCTTTGGCAATATGGCCAAGACTATAAAGCAAAAAGAGGTATAAAATTGTTCGAAAACTTTCAGACTTCACATATGCCATTCCTTTCATTTATGAACAACTAAACTATTGATAGCTAATTAAACTAATGCAAACTAAAGGCAAGTATTTCTAGTCTCAAAAGAGTTAATAAATTTAAAGTTAATAAATGCACAGTAAATTTGGTGTAACATGATCTGTGAACAATCGATCTACAGGGATAAATAATGGAGAAACAAAGGAACGCCAACTAGATAATGCAAGATGTATGTAGATCTTGTTCATTTAGATGTATTTAAATCTGCTGCTGCACTGTTGACAGAAGGGGAAAAGAGAAAGGAATCTGAATTTCTGTTTTTAAGACAGGCAATATGCTTTTTCTCAGTAAGCCAAGTTGTCAGTCTGCAAAATGTGGACGTATTTCTTCCTCCTCCTAGCCTATTTATAGTGAAAGATACAGTACAAGGAAGAACTTTGTTTCTTGGGTTAAAAAGCACCCCACATAATGTTTATAACTTTTCTGTATAACTTTTCATTGGAAGTATTTAGAACTGATACTGGTATGAAAGTGTAACG